CTCCCGTGAAGGAACAGGGTGGTCTGGTCAGCAGTCTGGTACACTGGGTATCCATGTGCAGAAGCATGAAGTTGGGCCATTACCTCACATGCATACTCAAAAGTTAGCTCAGAGTGGATCAGAGCCAAGTGTAAGACTTGATGCTATAGAAGTCTTCGAAGAAAAGATAAGAGTAAATCTTAGTAACCGTGAAATAAGCAGAACCTCATTTTTTTTTTTAAAGAATTACTTATTAGAGAGAGAGAGGTCTTCCATCCACTAGTTCACTCCTGAAATGCCCGCAACCACTGAAGCTGGGCCAATCAGAAGCCAGCAGCTTCCTCCAGGTCTCCTGCATGGGTGCAGGGGCCCAAACATTTGGGCCATCTTCCACTGCTTCCCGAGGTCATTAGCAGGAAGCTAGATCAGAAGTGGAACAACCAGGATATGAACCGGTGGCCATATGGGACGCTGGCACTGCATAACCTTCTTAAATGCAACATCAAAAACACTAGTGATGGCCAGCACCGCGGCTCAGTAGGCTAATCCTCCACCTAGCGGCACCGGCACACCGGGTTCTAGTCCCGGTCGGGGCGCCGGATTCTTTCCCGGTTGCCCCTCTTCCAGGCCAGCTCTCTGCTGTGGCCTGGGAAGGCAGTGGAGGATGGCCCAAGTGCTTGGGCCCTGCACACCACAGGAGACCAGGAGAAGCACCTGGCTCCTGCCTTCGGATCAGCGTGGTGCGCCGGCTGCAGCGTGCCGGCTGCAGCGGCCATTGGAGGGTGAACCAATGGCAAAGGAAGACCTTTCTCTCTGTTTCTCTCTCTCACTATCCACTCTGCCTGTCAAAAAAAAAAAAAAAAGCTAGTAATGAAGAAAAATATCAATAGATTAGATTACATCAAAATTAAAATCTTTTGTGCTTCAAACAATTCCATGAAGACAGTGAAAAAATAACCAGCAATATGGATAATGTTTCCAGGTCACGTATCCATAAGAAACTTGCATTCAGAACGTGTAAAAAACCCTTACAATTCAGTATTAGAAAGACAGTGCAGCTCAAAAATGGGCAAATGATTTGGACAGGTATTTTCTTAAAAAGATATAGCCATGACCAATAAGCACAGGAAAAGATGTTGGTGATGTTAGTCAGTGGGAAAATACAAATCACTTTGTACCCTCAAGGGTGACTGCAGTAAGAGGAGATAGACAACAAGTAGAGGCGAGTGTGTGTGGAAACAGTGGAGCCCTCACTTAGGAACCCTCAGGAGTGTCCAGTGGCGTAGCAATAGGACAGAGCTTAGCAGTTCTCAGAGCTGCTGTGTGACCCGGGCGTTCCACTCCTAGTAATGGTCCAAGAGAAGCGGACACCTCCATCCGCACCAGCAGCCACCAGCTTGTCCGCAGGCTCAGTGACAAGGCCCCAGAAAGCCACTCCTCCAGGATGGCAGAGAGAACACTTGCAGACCTTAGAATCAGCTTTCTCAGGGCTCTGGAAATCAACTACAGGTTTGCAGAAAGTCGAGAAAGTTGTGTTGAGGAGAATTGGCTGTGTCTCAGAACAGCCATCTGAATGGTCTTCTGACTTGCCCTAGTCCCATCCCCCCTCTATCTGTGTGATAGCCCTGGAAACTGACATTTCCACAGTCCGGTGCAGCCCTGCCGCCTAATGGCCTGTGAAGGAAGCACGAAGGATTGGAGCTCCCCCGAGAAAAGTCACTGTTCGACCTGTCTGGCGGGTCCTTGGAAGTGGGTCTTCACTTGTTCCATGGAAACAACCTCACCATCCTGGCACCTTCGTGAGAAACCGTAGGAGCAACTTGCTGACATTACAGGTGCCCAAGGGCATGGTAGCAGCTGGGGCAGGCAAGCAGCTGACCAATCTCCCAACTGGAACTCTGACCAGAGGCTATTTCTGGTGCTTTTGGCTCTAAGAATGCATCCACACTTCTGCCAGCACTGGCCATAGAGCCAGGCCGGTGCTCAGCGCCATCACTTCTGGAAGCCTGCCTGCACATCCCAGCCATCACTCTTCTACCTGCCCAGTAAAGAATGGAAGATGACCAAGTTGAGCTTTAAGTCCAACCAGCCCTTGGCCTCTAAGCAGAATAGAGGAAGCAAAGCCAGGGCAGGCCATGTAAGCAGCTTACAAGGAGCCTGGCAAAGTGCCAACATCTGAGAGAGGCGAGGCCAGCCAGAGGGGAACAAAACCAAGGCTAGTGCCAGGACCCAGAACACCAGCACAGCTCCAGGAAGGAAGACAAGGGGCAAAGAACTGGAGGAAGAAAGGAGGGCACTGGGGACAGTGCTGTGGCGCAGGGTTTTAAGCCACTTCCTGCTGTACCGACATCCTTTATGGGCACCGATTCAAGCCCTGGCTGCTCCACTTCCCATCCAGCTCCTTGCTAATGTGCCTGGGAAAGCAGTAGGAGATGGCCCAATTGCCTGGGCCCCTGCATCCACATTGGAGACCCAGAAGAAGCTCCTGCTCAGCCTTGGCTGTTGCAGCCTTTTGGGGAGTGAGCCAGTGGATGGTCCAGTGGTGGAACAGCCACCCCTGCCACTGGCACACACACTTGCCCTCTTAGACAAGACTAGCTTCTCACTCAGTGTACCCTGTGCCTGCCAGGCTCCTCACTCTCTTGTTGGTGGGGCCATGGTTTGCAGGCCTTTCTCTGCTCTGCTCTTTCCTCTGGCTTCCCACAGAGGGACCTGGGAGGGCTCCCCTGGCCTAAGTTGGGGCCCAGGTCCCATCTCATTCTTATATGCACCACTCTGCTGCACTGGGACTCACCCGCTCTCTTCCTTCCCTCACCTAACCTAGTCCCTGGACAGCCCTCTTTGCAGTTCGGGAAGGAAAGCAGGGAGACCCCCTGCCTGCACCCTGGGATCTGAGTATCTGTTGCAGGGACAGAACCTGGGTCACCTGTTGTCCAGGTGAGGTGCAGGTTCCCTGCAGCAGTCACTTAAGGTGTGTTGGAGCCACTCCCCTAACCCTTCTTGCTCCTGATGTAGGCCTGTTTCCCTGCCTACACCTGGGACACTGACAAGGCGCCAGCCCTGCCCGCCCCTGCCCCAGCTGCTCTTCCCTACCCACAAGGTTCTGGTTCCATCTTTCCTCTCCATAGACTACCTCGGGACCAGTGGTTCTGTTTTGTTCAGTGTTTCTTAGTTGGCCGTCATTGCAGCTGCCGTCAGCACCACATGTCTGTCCTCATTGCTTCCCTCTGTTCTGCCCACCTCCCCTACCCTGGGACCAGAGCTTTTTTCAGGTCTCCCATGCGGGTGCAGGGGCCCAAGGACCTGGGCCATCCTCCACTGCTTTCCCAGGCCATAGCAGAGAGCTAGTTTGGAATTGGAGCAACCAGGACTCAAACAGGTGCCCGTATTGGATGCCGTCACTGCAGGCAGTGGCTTTACCCGCTACGCCACAGTGCCGGCCCCAGGAAAGATTGTTTAAAGAGAAAAAAGTGGAAGCCTTGCTTGCCATTGTAAGGCTCTTTGAGTAGGTGGGGAACAGGCTGAGGCTCTGAATTTCATCCACTGTGCTCCTAGGGCCAAGGTTTTGAGTTTCAGGAGCCTGGGCTGTGGCCTGTCACCTGTTGATCCAGCTTTCTGAGCATCTCACATTGGGTATAAATGTTCTTAACTTCTTTGCTGGGAAATGTTAAGTCCTAAGTTTTATCAAAGATACTAGCCTTCTTAGTTTTTTATTAGATGCATTTTTTGCTGTTTATAACTTCAGAAAATACCAATGAGCCCATGATCTCATTCCCCTGAATTAACTACTTTTTTTTTAAAGATTTATTTATTTATTTGAAAGGCAGAGTTACAGAGAGGCAGAGGAAGAGAGAGAAGTCTTCTGTCTGCTGATTCACTCCCCAAACGGCCACAACAGCTGGAGCTGGGCTGATCCAAAGCCAGGAGCCAGGAGCACACCGGCCCAAGGACTTGGGCCATCTTCTGCTTTCCCAGGCCATAGCAGAGAACTAGATCGAAAGTGGGGCAGCCAAGACTTGAACCGGCACCTACATGGGATGCTGCCACTGCAGGCAGTGGCCTTACCCGTTACGCCACACCTCCAGCCTCTGAGTTAACTACTATGAACATTTGGCGTTTTCCCTCCAAAATGTTCAAGGCTTGTTTTCTGTGAAAATAAAAAAGTGTATACATACATGCTATACATTTAGCAAATTATCTTTGTTTTAACAAAAAAAAAAAAAAAGAAGAGGAAGAGGTCGGAGAGAGAGAGATCTTCCATCCACTGGTTCACTCCCCAGATGGCCAGGACAGCCAGGGCAAGGCCAGGCCAAAGCCAGGAGCCAGGTCTCCCACAAGGGTACAGGGGCCCAAGCACTTAGACCATCTTCTGCTGCTTTCCCAGGTGCATTAGCAGGGAGCTGGATCGGAAGTGGAGCAGCTGGGGACTCAAACTTGTGCCCATATGGGGTAGTGGCTTAACCCATTGCACCACAACACCAGCTCACAAATTCACCTTTTCTGTAGTCTGTTTTCCTAGTATTTGCCATCTTTCCACAGTTAAATCATGCCTTTAATAGCTAATGTATTTCATTTTTTAAAAGATTTATTTATTTATTTGAAAGTTCAAGTTACACAGAGAGAGGAGAGGAAGAGAGAGAGAGAGGTCTTCCATCCGCTGGTTCAATCCCCAGATGGCCGCCACGGCCGGAACTGTGCTGATCTGAAGCCAGGAGCTTCTTCCTGGTCTCCCACGTGGGTGCAGGGGCCCAAGGACCTGGGCCATCCTCCACTGCTTTCCCAGGCCATAGCAGAGAGCTGGATTGGAAGTGGAGCAGCCAGGATTAGAACCGGCGCCCATATGGGATGCTGGCACTGCAGGCCAGGGCATTAACCCGCTGTGCCACAGCGCCAGCCCCATGTATTTCATTTTTTTTATTAGAGAAAACATAGCAATATGTAACTTTCCTTTTAGAAACATTGAAGAATTATTTTTAGTTCATCTCTTGTCTCTCCTACTCATTGCAAATATCTTTCCTTAGCAAAACCGTGTGGTTGGGGCAATGCAGCTCTATTCTGTGGACAGGAAAGTCTCTCAACCCATAGAAGGCCACGCCGCTGCTTTCGCAGAGTTCAAGATTGAGGGCAATGCCAAGCCTGCCACCCTTTTCTGCTTTGCTGTTCGCAGTCCTGCAGGAGGCAAGGTAAGACCCAGTGTGCTTTGTCTTTTTTTTTTTGACAGGCAGAGTGGACAGTGAGAGAGAGACAGAGAGAAAGGTTCTTCCTTTGCTGTTGGTTCACCCTCCAATGGCTGTCGCACCCTGTGCACTGCGCTGATCCGAAGGCAGGAGCCAGGCGCTTCTCCTGGTCTCCCATGGGGTGCGGGGTCCAAGCACTTGGGCCATCCTCCACTGCACTCCCTGGCCACAGCAGAGAGCTGGCCTGGAAGAGGAGCAACCGGGACAGAACCGGCGCCCCGACCGGGACTAGAACCTGGTGTGCCAGCGCCGCTAGGTGGAGGATTAGCCTCGTGAGCCACGGCGCCAGCTTGCTTTGTCTTGCAAGTTAAGCAGCCGCGAGTCTGCAGAGGTGTGGTTGTGGTGGGCACAGCTCACAGTGGTATGTAGAGCCACTGACTTAGTGTACACTTCCATGCTTTGGCAGCAACCTTTGCATAAAGTAACCTGAAGTTGGCTAAATTGTTCCCTAAACATGCTCTTAGAGATGATCGTGGGATGGGAGATAAAAAGAAGTGAGGCGCTCCTTCCACGCCAGGGTCAGGCTCGCGGAGCAGACAGCTCTGAAACCACCAACTCAGTGCCGTCTTTGCCGTGCGCTTGGCTCCCACACCTCCGCAGTCTTCCCACCCAGCAGATGGAGCTGCAGAGAGACGAGGCTGTCCCCTGGGATGACGGGAGTTTTATTAGATTCAGGGGTCCCACAGCACCTGTGTGGCAGAGCTGTCATGAGCAGGGGTGTGCAGGTGATTTTGGGGAGACCTGGGCTTCTGGGGTTTCAGCAAGCCCTTGGGCAGCTGCTTAAAGACAAGAGTCCTTAACCCAGGAAACTTCTCAGAAATACTGCCTGAAGTCCTCGAGTATCCCCAGGGAAGAGGCATTCCAAGTAAGTGGCCGTCTTCCCACGCTGCCTCTTCAACGCACACTGCCTGGAGTCCTGCAAGTTACTGTGTGTTGTGCCTCATGCCGTCTGTGGAGAACTGGTGGGAGACCAGGAATCAGGTCAAATGTCGGCCTTGTTGATGGAAGCTGATTAAGGACCCTGACTTGAGGCGTGTGCCACAGAGCGCTGGCCACTGCCTCTTCACAGACAGAGCTGGGCAGCGACAAGCCCCCCTTTCAGGAGCAGAACCTTGCCCGGCCGTCTGCCACAGCACACTGTGGCCCGCAGAGGAGGGTGGAGAGGGCCAGGGAACCAGCGGCCTGGGAAGTGCAGATCCCTGCAGTAACCTCGTGAGGGCCGCCCCAGTCGTGGGGCTGACCCCCAGCTCTTCTACCACAGCGACAGCTTAGAGTCTCATTGGTGTCTTCCTCAACCAGGGCCCCTTGCACGAACGTCCTTCTCACTGGGTCCAGCTATCCTCACGGGACTGGCTCAGCTTCTCCGTGTGTACGATGGAGTTGCGTTGGCACCAGTTCTTTGTGGCCAGCCACTCCTCAGCAGGTGCTACCTGCTCTCTTCCTGCCTCCTCCCAGGGGCCTGGCTTCCTTTCCTGTGTCTCGCCCTTTGTCCTCATTTCCGTGCAGGAAACCATAACTCTTGCTCTCTTGTCTTCTGTTGTCACAGTCTGGGCTGTAGCAAACTTCATGGCTCTCGGCCTTCAGAGACCCTTATCACCTCACAGTTGGCTTAGGGTGGCTGTTCGTTAGGTCCTCAGAATCACTGCAGTCTTTCTCACTAATAGGCCTAGCCAAAGAATTGTCCTAACCTGCCTTTTATCTGCAAGCACCTGCCTGTACACATTCACATGTCCCTGTCTGACCCACAGGGCTCCCTGCCTCCACTAAAAAGCTGTCCTTCTGTTTTCCTCACCCCCTTCCCTGTACACTCTCTGATCTCTGCACCCTTCTCTGTGCCAAGCCATGCTCAGCTCTTCTCATGTGCTGTCTGCGATCACCAACACTCATGACTTCTCCCAGTTGTTTCGGCTGTGGCACCTCTCTTCAGATGCAGGCTGTAGGAAGGCGACTATGTAAATCAGGAGCATGGAGTTCTGAAAGCAGGGTGGACCCCTCATCGCCGCCCTCCCCCCAGATTCTGCAAAGGTTCTTCCATCTCCCAGCATAACCTTTCAGAGCTCAGGCCAAGCCACAGTGGGACTGTCCCATGAGTCTGGTGTTCAGTAATGAGCTCGTGTCATCTGTCTGGTTGATATTAGCCTGAGCTGTGGCCAGGAGATCAGAGAGCACATCTTAGCTGGAGCCTTCTGTTTCACGGGCGTGGGCACCGAGGCTCAGGGAAGAGTGAGGAGACAGGCCTGCCACCTCTGGAGCTCAAGGTTCTCAGGTTTGCTGGTGCTGGTTCCTTCTGCTGCACTCGGTGCTGGGATCCTCACAAGCAGCACAGTGAAGGGACCGTCTTGCCTAGCTTGGATTAACTGCACAGCACCTAGACCTGGGACCCTGCTGTGCTGCGCCGCGGTTAGCACCCATCTGCCACCAGGGTGTTTACTTGAGTTGACCCAAGATCTCTCTTCCAGTTGCACATAATTGAAGTGGGACAGCCAGCGGCAGGAAACCAGCCTTTCGTGAAGAAAGCCGTGGATGTGTTTTTCCCTCCGGAGGCACAGACTGATTTCCCTGTGGCTATGCAGGTAGGAACGTGCCGCTGCGTGAGTGCCCTCGTGTTCCCCTGCACCTGCTCAGGGACGGGAGACACCAGCCACAGTCTGCTTGTGCTGCCTCCCTCCCGCCCGGGACCTTGAGTCATTCAAACCCATCTGGGGGCCTAGAGCTTCAGGATGATTCGTAAAGGTTCTGTTCATAGAAAGGAATGCCCTTGCTCAGGGTGGGGTAAGGCAGCCTGAGACTTTCCAGCTCACAGACTGAAGTCTCAGGTCTTTTCTCTTTTATTGTACAAGACTAAGTGTTCTCTGTGGTACGAGATATACAAAGAAATAGTGGCTGAACTCATCGGATGTAAAATATGTAAAATATCTGTTATATAAAAGTGTAGATGTAAACTTTTCTGAACAAGACTGGTGTCACACTGTGTATAAGAGATTATCTAGGACAGGCATTTGGCACAGCAGTCAGGCTGCCACTGGGGATGGCTGCGTCCCACGTCAGAATGGCTAGGTTCCTGTCCCGGCTCCAGTCTCCACTCCAGTTTCCTGTTAGTGCACACCCTGGGGGACAGCAGAGGATGGCTCAAGTAGTTGGGCCTCTGCCACCCACATGGGACACCTGGATGGAGTTCTGAGCCCCTGCCTTTAGCCTGGACCAGTCCCAGCCATTGTGACCATCTGCGGAGTGAACCAATGAATGGAAGCTCACTTGCTCACGCTCTCTCTCTCTCTTTCTTTCTCTCTCTCTCTCTCTCTCTCTGTCATTTTCCTATCAAATACACACACACACACACATATATGTGTATGTATATATATATATATATATTTTTTTTTTTTAAGTACTGATTTTAAAAACTAATGACTTGGGGCCAGTGTTGTGGCATAGTGGGTAAAGCTGCTGTCTGCAATGCCAGCATCACATATGGGCACCAGTTTGAATCCTGGTTACTCCACTTCTGATTCAGCTGTCTGTTAATGTGCCTGGGAAAGCAGCAGAAGATGACCCAAATTCTTGGGCCCCTGCACCCATGTGGGAGACCAGGAAAAAGCTCCTGGCTCCTGGGGAGTGAACCAGCAGATGGAAGATCTCTCTCTCTCTCTCTCTCTCTCTAACTCTCTCTAACTGTGCCTTTCAGATAAATAAAAATAAATCTTAAAAAAAACTAATGACTTAAAAATTGCCATGCACACACACACAAAAATGATCCACAAAACATTCTGCTTCCTTCTGAAGGTTTTACGATGCATTGCTATCATTAGCAGTCTTTTACTATTACACTTCAGTGGGCAATTCAGACGAGTATTTTTGAGACAGTTCTCCTACCACTGATAAAGACTGAGGTGGCAGGTGTTAGGGATAATATTCATTTAGCCTACTGAGCTTTCTGGGCAGAAAAATATGAAGCACTTCACAGATTGGCATGTCATCCTGTGCAGGGGCCGTGCTGATCTTCTCTGAACCGTTCCAGTTCTAGTATATGTGCTGCTGAAGCGAGCCCCCGGTCCAGTCCCTGACCCTTATGCCCACCCTCAGGTTCCCGGCAGCCCTGTGAGCATCCTCATGTTCCTCGGAATTGTTGCCCACTCGTTCAGAGTAAATTCTCATCTATGGTGGTTTCTCTCTCAATTACTGTAAGTTTTTGAATCTTCTGGTTTGACAAATGCATCTTCCTTTTCTCCAGCCCTTCAGCCTGCCCTGCATGTTTAAAGTTTTTTTCTCTAAGAGTTGATGATCCTTGGCTAAGGTCACAGATTAGTGAGTGGTAGTGGAGAGCAGGCTGGAGTGTGAACTTGATGTTTGGGATCCTTGTCCAAAATTTTCCCCCTTTTATGAACTCACTGCTTGTTTAAGGGAGTTGGGTAAGAAACTGGAGAAAGATATAAAAATATTTTTGTTTGTTTTATTTGAAAGACACAGAAACAGAGAAAGGGAGAGAGATCTCTCATTCATAGGTTCACTCCCCAAATGCCCACAATGGCAGGAGCTGGGTCAGGCTGAAGCCAGGAGCCAAGAACTCCATCTGGGTCTTCCACAAGGGTGGCACAAGTGGCCCCACTTGGGCTGTCACATCTGCTGCCTCCCAGACACATCAGCAGGAAACCAGATTCAAGGCAGAGGCAGGACTTGATCCCAGGTACTCCAACATGGGATGTGGGCATCCCAAGTTGGGGCTTAACCTGCTGTGCTGTGACACCACCCTATCCTCGGGCCTTTGTTCAGGAGAAGGTGGGCAGAGTGTTGGCTTATAACTAGTCCACAAAGGATGGGACTTGGAATCCAGGGCTGAGAGACTCAGCAGTCTCCCTCGTCATTTGTAAGCCTTTTTGCCCTTCTGACGTGTTGTTCTCTGTCTTCTTGTAGATTGGAGCTAAACACGGTGTCATCTACTTGATCACGAAGGCTGGCTATCTTCACTTGTATGACCTGGAGTCTGGCGTGTGCATCTACATGAACCGCATCAGTGCTGACACGATCTTTGTCACTGCTCCGCATGAGCCGACCTCCGGAATTATCGGTGTTAATAAAAAGGGACAGGTGTGTACCTCTGGGTCTGGAGCCTCAGCTCTTTTCCTTCATCAGTAAAGCAACTGGGTATGCCTGGCCCCTGCCGTTACGCTCGCCCTGTGTTTCCCTTCTCCTGTGTGTCCTCCCCTGTCCTCTGCAGCCAGTGCTGGCCCTAACCCCAGGGTCGCTTCTGAGAGGGAAGCGGCTCCTTGCTCCCCAGTGGACACCACGAACAGTCTTGGTGCCATGTACACATTGACTGGGGAGGATTGTAAAAGCAGGCACCATGCTAGCGAGGTTTGCTTTTCTCAGCCACAGTTTAAAATATGGTCAGGAGAAATAGCTCCATGCTTTTAGAAAGCCGTATGGGAAGAAAAAGTGTCTGTTGCAGCCAGGCAAGTCGGTGTGGCATTGTCCTGAACACACCCTCTGGGCAGAGCCTGTGGGACCGTGTTTTTCTGTAGTCCTCTCAGGAGCTTCTTAGAACCCCCGGGCTGTGGCTGCACCCTGGTCCTCTGCCTTGTTGCCAGCAGGCCTCTGCTTCCTTTGCATCCTGTCACTCTGAGCACCGTGTCAAGGGTGTGCTCAGCTCTGGGCTGGGAAGTCGCCAACCATCCATGTCTGTGAGGGTCTGGCAAAGTGGGTGCCCGGTGCCCCCTTCCTGCCTGAGCCCATCTCACTGGTGGGTTTTCACAGGTGCTGTCGGTGTGTGTCGAGGAGGAGAACATTGTGAATTATGCAACCAGTGTGCTTCAGAATCCGGACCTGGGTCTGCGTTTAGCTGTTCGTAGTAACCTGGCCGGGGCAGAGGAGCTGTTTGTGAGGAAGTTCAGTGCCCTGTTTGCACAGGGAAGCTATGCTGAAGCCGCCCGTGTCGCCGCATCTGCACCAAAGGTGATGGAACTTGAGCACTGTGGGCCGTTGCCAAGTTTGTTTATCTATTTGAGAGGCAGAATTACAGACAAAGGGGGAGAGAGATCTTCCATCTGCTGGTTCACTCCACAAATGGCCTCAACAGCCAGGGCTGAGCCAATCAAAAGCCAGGAGCCAGGAGCTTCTTCCGGGTCTCCCACGTGGGTGCAGAGGCCCAAGGACTTGGGTCATCTTCCGCTGCTTTCCCAGGTCATTAGCAGAGAGCTGGATCGGAAGTGGAGCAGCCAGGACTTGAACCAGTGCTCATATGGGATGCCAGCGCCACAGATGGAGGCTTAACATAATTCTCTCAGCATAGGCCCCTTCCCAAGTTCTGAGAAGCCACTTCAAGAGTGAAGGAAACCGCAGGACAGCTCACTGCTGATCCTGGAAGAATGAGTGCTGCGTTGGTGGCTCTTGGTTGGCTCGTGCCTGTCTGTGTGAGCACATCTTTCTGACGCAGCAGCCTCGCTTAGGTGCAGTTTTGCATTTTTGACAACTTGGAATTTTTCACTGGTGCTGCTTTGTTGTCAGACCTGTAACTCCATAATACACCAAGTCCTCACACCCACCCTATTTTACCACATTCCTACCCTGACCTTCTAGAGAATCCTGGTATGCTAGGTATGGCCTTTTCTGTGACTTAGCGCATTCGGATAAATGGGACTGGATCTGCTCCTAGTAGATGAGGACTTTTGAATTGCTTTTCCGTGTAAGTTTTTTTCTGTCTTTCAAATGATGGTGATGAACAATCCATTTCTTTTTTGTTGTTTTTTAAAGATTTTATTAATTTTTTTTATTTGAAAGGCAGTGTTGCAGAGAGAGAGGGAAAGACAGAGACAGAGATTTTTCCATCTACCAATTCACTCCCCAAATGCCCACAACATCCAGGGCTGGGCCAGGCCGAAGCCAGGAGTGTGAAACTCCCATCTGGGTCTCCCATGTGGGTGGCAGAGGCCCGAGTACTTGGACCATAATCTGCTTTCCCAGGTGCATTAGCAAAGAGCTAGATGGGAACTGGACCAACCAGAACTCAAACCAGCGCCCATATAGGATGTTGGTGTCACGTGCAGTGACTTTACCTGCTGCTCCACAGTGCTGGGCCCTGAACAAACCATTTCTAAGGTCCATCTGGGCCTGCGTGTTTTCAGTTAGAATACGATGAGTGTTCAGCATCACTACTGCAGTACTGCTTTGAGATTTATTCTCACGGAAGCCTACTGGGCGAGGACGACTGTAACTGAGCTCGCTGTAGGCCCCAGCCCCTTATACTTAGGGTTGTCATGTGGCCAGGTGGTTTTCTGTGTGCACGAGTGAGGGGGTGTCCTGCAGTTACAGCACAGTGACCCGCGCTTCCATTGTCATCAGGGAATTCTGCGTACCAGCGACACGGTGCGCAAGTTCCAGAGTATTCCCGCCCAGCCCGGGCAGGCCTCTCCGCTGCTCCAGTACTTCGGAATCCTGCTTGACCAGGGTCAGCTCAACAAACTGGAATCCTTAGAACTCTGCCGCCCAGTTCTTCAGCAGGGACGCAAGCAGCTCCTGGAGAAGTGGCTGAAAGAAGATAAGGTAGAAACCCTTGTGAGATCACAGCCCCCGGCACAGGTGGCAGCCAGGCCACAGCACCCTGCTCCTCTGTCCCTAACTTTGCCTTGTCCTTTGGCACCCCACAGCTGGAATGCTCAGAAGAGCTCGGAGACTTGGTCAAAGCCGCTGACCCCACGCTTGCCCTGAGTGTGTACCTTCGGGCAAATGTGCCAAGCAAAGTCATCCAGTGCTTTGCTGAAACAGGCCAATTCCAGAAAATTGTGCTCTATGCTAAAAAGGTAACGTGGGCCCTTCCGTGTCAGCTCTTTGGTGTGTGAGAGAGTTTTCAGTGTTGCTGTTGGCACCTGTCGTTCATTGGAAATTATTGTATTGTATTCTTACAAGACTGCTTTCCAGTTGCAAGCTTTCGTGTAAATGTGTCTTTTTCTGTCTCTGCCGCCTCCACGGCCCCCTGTGTAGTGTTCGGGCGAGTCCCAGATCACATCCCCCTGTACTCGCTGGCGGCCTGTGCTTGGGTGTTAACTGGCGCACGTTGTTTGCGTACTGTGCTACACTTTGGTGTGCCAGCACTCTGCTCATTGCACCAGATACTGTGTATGGCAGAGGGTGTCCATACCCGTGCTAATATTGTGGCTCTTTTCCTTATAAGCAGAAATTGAGCACAAAGGATGGGGGACCTGAAGTGTTTGGCTTCTTGACCGGTGCTCCCTTGCTTCTAGGTCGGGTATAGCCCAGACTGGATGTTTCTGCTGCGGAGCGTGATGAGGGTCAGCCCAGAGCAGGGGCTGCAGTTTGCCCAGATGCTCGTGCAAGACGCGGAGCCGTTGGCCAACATGAACCAGGTGGGCTCAAGGAGTGGCTTTATGGCCATCACGAAGACTCCCTTCCACTTGGGTTTCTGTGAATGTGTCTTGGTGCTTTTCTCTGCTATTAATCCCCACCCTCTTTTTTTTTTTTTTTAAGATTTATTTATTTGAGAGGCAGAGTTACAGACATAGGGAGGGAGAGACAGGTTTTCCATACACTGGTTTACTCTCTCTCTCTCTCTCTCTTTTTTTTTTTTTAAGATTTATTTATTTATTTGAAAGCCAGAGTTACACAGAGAGAGGAGAGGCACTGGGCGTGGGGGGCTTCCATCTGCTGGTTCACTCCCCAGTTGGCTGCAACGGCCAGAGCTGTGCTGATCTGAAGCCAGGAGCTTCTTCCGGGTCTCCCATGTGGGTGCAGGGACCCAAGGACTTGGGCCGTCTTCTATTGCTTTCCCAGGCCATAGCAGAGAGCTGGATTGCAAGAGGAGCAGCTGGGACTAGAGCCAGCGCCCATATGAAGTACTTCGGGCCATGGCTTTAACTCACTGCACCACAGCGCCAGCCCTGGTTTACTCTTCAAATGTCCACAACGGCCAGAGCTGGGCCAATCTGAAGCCAGGAGCCAGAACTTCTTCGGAGTCTCCCACATGGATGCAGGGGCTCAAGCACTTGGGCCATCTTCCACTGTTTTCCCAGGCACATTAGCAGGGAGCTGGATTGGAAAAGGAGCAGCTGGGACTCGAACCAGCACCCATATGGGATGCTGGTGCTGCAGGCAAAAGCTTAACCTACTATGCCACAGTGCCGGGTGCCTCCCCAGTCTTCCAGTTTTAAACACCCACATTATGGGAGCTTGTCTTCCATTCTTTACTGTTTGAATGCTTGTTCACTTTTGTTTTGAAGTAGTTTAGAAGATTTGCATGTCAGATTCTGAGAATTTGGTTTCCTTGAGTGGTGACTGGTGGCAGGGTATGAGGATGTCACGTTGTCCCTCCACCCCTGGCATGTACCACAGTCAGTGCCCTGCAGTCACCTAGACGTTTGTTCTGGGGGTGCCTCCCTGACCAGGCTGCGTGTGAGCAGCAGTCTCTATTTTCAGTGGTGTCTGCTCAGTGTATCATATAACAGTTGCCCTTTAGGAAACTGCGTACAAACGTGAGTGTGTGCATCAGGACTCGGAGCACGGCAACAAGGTCCGCACCCTGTCTGGATGTAGGAAGCGCAATTGTGTCGGGTTTCTGCATCAGGAATTCACAGCTGTTTTAGAGATCATGAATAAGGGGTTTGCACCACACTGACTTAGCTCTCAACAAGAAAGAGTCTCCAGCTTGTCTTTTATTTATTTATTTATTTAGTTAGTTTTATTTTATTTATTTAAAAGGCAGAATGATAGAGACAAAGAGAGAAAAAGATCTTCCATCTACTGGTTTACTCCCCAAATGGCCAGGCCAAAACCAAAAGCCTGGAACTCCATCCAGGTCTCCCACTTGGGTGGCAGGGGCCCAAGCATTGAGCCATCTTCCACTGATTTCCCAGGTGCATTAGCAGGGAGCTGGATTGAAAGCAGAGTGGCCAGGACTCAAACCAGTTCTCCAAGATGGGAGGCGCACGTCACAGGCAGTGGCTTAACCCACTGCGCCACAGCACCTGTCCCATCCAGTTTTAAACCTTGATGACATTTTGTATTTTAGTGTTTTTAAATTACACAGTTACTGTTTACATTAATAATGCTCATGAATTACATGAATTTTGATGACCTAGGAAGATGCAATGGAAGAAAACAGTTGTTGAGTTTCTAAATGGGGTTCTATTTCAGGACCTATTTCAGTAGGAAAAATGGAGACTTTGCTCTGGGTGAAAATGTGTCTTGGATCTGTTTCAGATTGTGGACATTTTCATGGAAAACAGCTTAATTCAGCAGTGTACTTCCTTCTTGCTGGATGCCTTGAAGAACAATCAGCCAGCTGAGGGGCATCTGCAGACGCGGCTGTTGGAGATGAACCTGATTCACGCACCCCAGGCAAGTGACACTTGTAGGCCCACGCCGAGGGGCAGAGCACCCGGGGCACCTCTGTGCAGTGGGCCTGGGTGCAGATGGCTGTGTGCTGGGTTGCACTCCTGCCAGAGGTTTGTCTGTTTCATTATGGTGAAATAGACGTCACAGTTTACCTATTTAACAGTTTTAAGTATATATTCAGTGGCATCAAGAACACCCCCATGATTATGCGACCATTACTGCTATACGTTTCCCAGACAAGAACTGTGTAACATTTGAGCAAGAATTCCCTGTTCCCTCCTGCCCCAAGCCCCTGGCCACCACAGCTGTGCTGCTCTTGGTCTCTGTGAATTTGCCTGTCCCAGGTACTTCCCATAAATGAAATCGTAAAATGTTTATCCTTGTATCCTTTTTTCACTTAACATATTTTTTAAAGATTTATTTATTTGAAAGGCAGAGTTACAGAGAGAGAGATCTTCCATCTGCTAGTTCACTCCCCAATTGGCCACAACGGCTGTAGCTGTGCCGATACAAAGCCAGAAGCCAGGAGCTTCCTCCCAATCTTCCCATGCAGGTGCAGGGGTCCAAGGACTTGGGCCATCTTCTACTGCTTTCCCAGACCAAGCAGAGAGCTGGATCAGAAATGGAGCAGCTGGGACTTGAACTGGTACCCGTATGGGATGCTGGCACTAAAGATGGCGGCTTTACCCACTACGCCACAGCATTGACCCCTTATTTTCCTTTTTTAAAAAATAAGAGGCATTTTTGGGCTGGCGCTGTGGTGTAGCAGGTAAAGCCACTGCCTGCAGTGGGGAGGGTCCTGGCTTCTGGCTCTGATCAGCGCAGCTCTGGCCATTGTGGCCAGTTGGGGAGTGAGCCAGTGGGTGGAACACACCTCTTTCTCTCTGCTTCTTCTCTCTGTGTAACTCTTTGAAATAATAAAATAAATCTTATTTTATTTATTTGAAAGGCAGTTACAGAGAGGTAGAGGCAGAGAGAGAGAGAGGTCTTCTATCTGTTGGTTCACTTCCCAAATGGCCCCAACAGCCAGAACTGTGCCGATCCATAGCCAGGATCCAGGAGCTTCTTCTGGGTCTTTCACGTGGGTGCAGGAGCCCAAGGACTTGGGCCATCTTCTGCTGCTTTCCCAGGCCACAGCAGAGAGCTGGATCGGAAGTGGAGCAGCCGGGACTCGAACCAGTGCCCATATACAATGCTGGCAATGCAGGCAGTGGCTTTACCTGCTAGACCACAACACTGGCCCCTTTGATTTTTTTAAAAGATTTTTTATTTACTTGAAAGGCAGAGTTAGAGAGAGATCTTCCATCCTCTGATTCACTCCCCAAATGGCCACAATGGCCAGAGCTGGCTGGTCTGAAGCCAGGAGCTTCCTCTAGGCCTCCCACATGGGTGTAGGGACCCAAGGACTTGGGCCATCCTCCCTTGCTCTCCCAGGCACATTAGCAGGGAAGTGGATCGGAGGTGGAACAGCCAGGACTCGAACCGTTGCCTACATAGGATGCCAGTATCATAGGCAGTGGCTTAACCCTCTGCTGCACAGCACTGGTCCATATATATATATATATATATATATATGTATGTATATATATGTGTGTATATATATGTATGTGTGTGTGTATATATATATGTGTGTATATATATATATATAAATACACACACTCATACATGCCAGTTTTTAGCAAATGAAGTTTGAAACCAAAGTGAAGAGGACTCAGGAACTCCACAGACAGACCCTAGGGAATGCCAGTGCCACAGGCGGGCAGCCTGTCCGGCAGGCAGCTGGACACAGTGCCTGGGTTGTTGGGGTTGTCCTCTCTGGATGAGAGGCACTGGAGATGCCCTCTGCCTTTGCTTTTCTGTGTTTTCTGAGTTCTCTAAAACACACCATAGCTCTGATAAGGAACAGGTGTTTGGAAGGGAGATGAATGAGGACCTATGGAAGGAAGCCAAGGTCAGGGGCACAGACAAGTGCTGTTTGTGCCCCAGCTTTTCTCTCAGGACTTGGTGTGCATCGTGTGCTCCGTGGGGAGCCCAGGATATGTGCAGCCCTGGTACAGTGTGGTGCAGGCTGCATCTGAGGTTGCTGTGTATGTGACTGGTCCCACACTGGGCTGCTGTTCTCCCAGCCTGGAAGACATAGGAAACAGTGTGCTGGACGGCAGGTAGGGGCTATGCCTCCTCCAGGCTGGCTCCTGGGTGCTGGGTGGAGGTGCTGGGTCTTATTATTCAAGGGTCAGAGAAACAGAGCTCCCATCCACTGGCTCCACTCCTTCACCAGCCAAGTAACTGCAATGGAACAGGACTGGACTGGGCTGATGTCAGGAACTGGAACTCATCCCCTGTTGCCTCCCAGGGTCTACATTAGCAGAAATCTGGAATCAGGAGCTAGAGAAAGGACTCAAATCCAGGCACTCCATTGTGGGATGCGGGCATCTTAATCAAACACCTGTTTTATTAAATGCAACCCCAAGTCCCTAAGTCTACCCTTAGGGAAGTCTGCTAAGCACAAGTGAGATTTGTTACTTCCAGACCTCACTGTCCCTAGTCTGAGTTTTGAGCTCCTCAGAGGAGGGTCTGACTCACACGTCAGTCTTACTGTAGAGAACCTTGCAGGAAAACAATCACCAGAAAGTCCCAAGAGTGACCAGGTCCATCCCAATCGTGGTGCCGTCTGGAGCCTTGGCCTCCCTCACACACGCAGTGCTCCGGCAACACATGAAGGGCCTCAGGTGCCTGGAAGGGAGCCAGGGCTCTGCTTGGGACCTGCCAGCGCTACTGCCACTGCCGCCCCTGGATTTGTGGACGTGGGCAGGAGCCCATGAGCGCTGGTTCCTGAGCTGTCCCTCACACTGGGGACATGGCTGAACGGTGGCTCTGCGGAGGTGACGGCCACAAAGCAGGCTTTCTTACGCTCTCACTGTTTTTGTAGGTTGCAGATGCCATCCTTGGAAATCAGATGTTTACGCATTATGATCGGGCCCACATTGGCCAGCTGTGTGAGAAGGCAGGCCTCCTGCAGCGGGCTCTGGAGCACTACACCGACCTCTATGACATCAAGAGGGCCGTGGTCCACACCCATCTTCTCAATCCAGAGGTAGAGTGCCCCTGGGACGCTTCCTTGTGGCTGGTGTTTGTCTGGTCACCTGTGTCGCGTGCTCCCCATGTCCACCACCTGTCAGGATCGTGGGACCAGGCTGCTGCGAGGCTGTGCGGCTGTCACCCGCCCAGCGGCATGTCTTGGCTCCACAGTGTCCCTCTGCGACTTAGTCTGACCGCTGGAATAGAGATGACCTGGTAACCATGGACATGGGCAGAGCTGTCTGAAACCGTTAGGACAGGGCAGGGTAGCTGTTGTGTTCCTGATTGCAGATCAGGTTCTAATGCCAGCTGCGGGGCGTCCCAGGACCAATGGCTGGGCTGCCATTTCCTCTTAAGTTTACTCCTTGCTTCTGCTTTCCACCACGATGCATGGTTGTTTTGCAGTAGGCATTCTTTTCATCTTTCTGACGTGCAGGAGTGGGTGGGGGGCGACCCACCTGTTTTCCCAGTGCAAGCGGCATTTCTGATGGCTTTCAGCTGTGGACTGATCTTCCCTTGTCCCCAGTGGCTCGTCAACTTCTTTGGCTCCCTGTCTGTGGAGGATTCCTTGGAGTGTCTGCGGGCCATGCTGTCTGCAAACATCAGACAGAACCTTCAGCTGTGCGTGCAGGTGGCCTCTAAGTACCACGAGCAGCTGGGCACGCAGGCCCTGGTGGAGCTCTTTGAATCCTTCAAGAGTTACGAAGGTGAGCCATACAGCCTCTGGCCCTCTGGTCACAGGACTGTGCCTGCCTTCCCAGGTCTTGCTCTCCCCATGCCTAACCCGAAACCGTCTTCCTTAGCCCGCTGGGGAGGCTGCAGTGCTTGGCGCTCCCTCAGGTGTATTACTCAGCTGAGTCATCACCGTGGTGTTTGCAAAGGAAAGGAGGAGTCAGACTGGCTGGCGTTGGGATGGAGAGAGCCGCAGCCCGGCGCAGAACCCGTCTTAAGATGTCACACTGACGATCCTGGGTGCTGGCAAAGGCCCAGTGTCTGTCTCCTCCACAGGCCCCTGTGGGAGCAGCTCCTTTACCTTCCCCTGGAGGAAAAGCTGGAGCAGAAGACGGTGGAACTGGGCGGTGGCAGGGGGTGTCAGCAGAGTAGAGTTGTGGGGTTTGCTGGCCCAGGGAGTGACCATTCCTTCCCGTTGTTTGTCTCGTGGTTACAGCCGACAGCCACCAGGCAAAGTGTTCTTCTCTGGTGGTGTTGCTGTCTCAGCCAGCTGAGTCCTGTCCTGAGTTTCTTTTAAGTGATATGCTCTGTGATTCCCCAAGTGCGCCATCAGCTCCGTGTGGGATCACAGGCTCTCCCTGGGAGCCTCTGATTGGAGGCTATTGCTTGTTTTCTCTGTTCTGGGCATCTTTCTGTTTTTGTTTGTTTGTTTTGTTTTATAAAATTGATTTATTTGAGAGGCAGGATGACAAAAAGAGAAAGAGATCTTCTATCTGCTGGTTACTCTCCAAGTGGCCACAATGTCCAGGGTTGGCACAAGCCAATGCCAGGAGCTCAGAACTCCTTCCAGGTCTCCCACAGGGGTGGCAGCGGCCTAAGCACTTGGGCCATCTTCTGCTGCCTTCCCAGGAGCATTAGCTGGAAGCTGGGTTGGAAGTGGAGCGGCCGAGACTAGAACTGGCACTGTAACAAGGGATGCCAGTGTCGCAGGTGGCAGCTTAACCTGCTGCACCACGACGCCAGCCCGCGGGCCTGTCTTTAGAGCAGCCATTGCCTAGTCCTGTGAGGTTCCCTCAGTGTGACTTAGTCTTGACGAAGACCGTGTGAGGTGTGCCTGGGCTCCCCAGGAGAAATGCACACCCCCACATACCAGGTAACCAGTGCTTCACAGCAGAGCATCCAGGTTGCCTGCCAGATTCAGTGGTCCTGTGATTGACTAGGTGCTTGTTTGGAGATACCAGAGCAGACAAAACTTCATACAGGTGATGAGATCTGAGAGGGCTGGGCCGTCAAAGTCAGGTGGGCCGCAGCCTCGGGGAATGCAGGGAAGTGTTGCGAGGCCAGCTGGAACAGTCTCTCTTCATAGGCCTCTTCTACTTCCTGGGCTCGATCGTGAACTTCAGCCAAGACCCAGACGTGCATCTGAAATACATCCAGGCTGCCTGTAAGACGGGGCAGATCAAGGAGGTGGAGAGGATCTGCCGAGAGAGCAGCTGCTACAACCCGGAGCGGGTGAAGAACTTCCTGAAGGTGTGTGCGGGTGTCTGAGCCTCGGCCAGGCTTCCTGAGGGCTGGAGAGCAGGGTTTGTCCCCACGGTTCCCTTCCTCCCCGGCAGTGGACCCCACTGTTTATGGCCCCAGGTCTCTAGAGGAATCCACTCAGAAGACCCTTTGTGGCCAGATGCTTGAGACTGGGCAGGAATTCTCTAGCCTGTGAGTGGAGGAGTCACTTTACTGCTATGCTGTATTTCAGCAGCTTCCCAGCATGCCCCTGTGGTGAGGTGGGACCCAGAATACAGAACCCACTCAGCGCTAGCACAAAAAAAGAAGCCTGCTTTGCCCTTTGCCTCGGTGGTGGTTCACACACTCTTGGGATGCCCTGGGTTTGAGACCTGGCTGCACAGCCTGTTCTAGTTGCTTGCTAATTCACATCCTGGAAGGCAGCAGGTCCTGGATCATTCACATGGGAGACCTGGGTTGAGTTCCTGGCTCCCAGCTTTGTGCTGACCCAGCCCTGGTTGCTGTGGAAATTTGGGGAGTAGAGCAGCAGATGGGAAATCTCTTGCCATCTCTCTCTCTTTCTGCCTTTCAAGTAAAGAGTAAATAAATAAGTACTGTTTTTAAAAGCCTGCTTCTTTCTCATGTGACAGTCTCGGTGACCATGGCGGTAAGTGTGGTGGCTTTCCTTTCCCTCCCACCCTCCTTCAGGGAGCAGGATGAGGGCTGCTTTGGCCTGGATGTTGATTTCCCAGCCACGTGGAAGAAGTGGAGGGTGTGAGGAGAGGAGAGCAGCACGGGTGACTGTATGGCTGACACCTGTCCGTGGTAGATGCCACTTTAATTCGCGTTCCCTTGTAAGAAGTGAGGTCGCATGGACACAGAACCTTCAGAGAACCTGGGAAATGCACTGTGGTTATGAGTCCCAACGAGGGCCTGCTGCCTGTCCTGCTGGAGTGCATCACTGTCTAGGAGCAGGATGCAAGTGGTGGTAGGGGGTGTGGGCTGCACGCGTGGGAGCCGCAGGCTGATGATGCGTGGGTGGGGGCTGCTAATCTGAAGACGCAGCCCTTTCCAGGCGTGCTGCCCCGGTCAGCTTCTCACACGATGTGCCGCCCATCCAGAAGGCGCTTGAATTTGTACAAAGTAAGAATATGATTGCCAGGTTTAGTACTGTTCCCACCCGCTTGTTTCCCAAAGCAAGACCACGTCCCCCCAGAAAATACCTGAAAGGACAGAGTGTCTGGAGCAGCGCTCCCTCCCGAGTTCCCTGCAGGATCGCAGCGACAGAGGCAGTGCCGTCCCGGTCCAGCTTCTGGCCCTGGCCGTGGCCCTGCGGGGTGCTGGCCGCCTGACCATGCTGTGCTTTCCCACTCTCAGGAGGCCAAGCTCACTGACCAGCTCCCCCTAATCATCGTGTGCGACCGCTTTGACTTTGTGCACGACCTGGTGCTGTACCTGTACCGCAACAACCTGCAGAAGTACATTGAGATCTACGTGCAGAAGGTACTGCCGGCTCACCGAGGCGACGCATGCATGGGAGAGGCCGCCCTGGCCCTGACCGCTATAGAGACTGTCAGTCTGAAGGGTGGGCTCTTAGTCTGCTCAGGCTGCCAGATCAGAGTCTCACTGACTGGGAAGCTTCTCACACTTCTGTAGGGCCCAAGTCCAAGAGCAAGGTGCTGGCAGGCTTGGTTTCTGGTGAGGGATTCCCCCCAGGCTGGCAGACAGCCCCGCGTCTTCACTGTGTCCTCACATGGCGTGGCCTCTTCTCTGTGCCTCCTCTTAGGAGGACCGCAGTCCTGTAGCATCACGACCCTGCCCTCAACAGCGATCACCTCCCTAAGGGCCCTGTTTCCCATTACATTCCCATTAGGAGCTAGGCCTTCAACAGGCGGACTTTGGGGGGAGGGGGATGAGGTTCCATCCCACATGGCAGCCCTTTCAGAGTTTGCACCCATTCTCTGTGAATCTTGGGGGGTGGGCAGGGAGCTTCTAGCACTGACCTGCATCCACAGCCCCGTGGTCAGCACCTCAACTCTTCCAGGTCAACCCCAGCCGGATCCCAGCCGTGGTTGGAGGGTTGCTGGACGTGGACTGCTCTGAGGATGTCATTAAGAACCTAATCATGGCAGTGAGGGGGCAGTTCTCCACCGATGAGCTGGTGGCCGAAGTGGAGAAGAGGAACAGGTACAGGAGCCTCACTCGGTGTCTCCTTTTGCTCCTGGACTTCAGGGTTTGTTGTTAGTTCTCTGCCCAATTCTCCAAGATGCCTTCATGGTCAGCCTCCCGATGCGTGGACCGTGCCCATGGCTGATCTCAGGATGGGTTACTTGCTGTTGGTACTGAAGACCTTGAGGGGAAATATTAACTGAAATCAGTCTGGGGACCTGGTCTGTCTCAACCCTGAGAGCAGCCTGGAGTGCGTGGGCATTTCTGTTTCAGGAAGCACCCCTCCAAGCCCTGGGCTTGCCCTAGTGGCTCCCAGCGGTAGTCTTCAGACTTTCACGGAATCTTTGCTTTCAAAGGCTCAAGTTGCTACTTCCCTGGCTGGAGTCCCGGATCCAGGAGGGCTGTGAAGAGCCTGCCACCCACAACGCCCTGGCCAAAATCTACATCGACAGCAACAACAGCCCCGAACGCTTCTTGAGAGAGAACGCCTTCTATGATAGCAGCGTGGTGGGCCGCTACTGCGAGAAGCGGGACCCCCATCTGGCCTGCGTGGCCTACGAACGGGGCCAGTGTGACCTTGACCTCATCAAGGTAGGTTGCAGGGGTACTTAGCTATTGTGTTGCTGTGACCCAGGGGCCAGGGCTTCAGCTGTGTGCCTGCAGAGGGTGGGCATGTAGTGCTTCTCCAGATTCACTTGCTTGTAATTCTGGCACCTTTGGTGTTCTGCTACTGCCTGGAGTGCATGTGTTGTGACTATAGGCTTAGATGACCATGAATCTGACCCATCACTTGCCTGCTTGCGGCCCTCAGGGTCACCTCACCGACCCCGTCAGCTGCGCCTCCTGTCACCCACCTGGAGTGGCCAGCAGTTGCCCAGTGCTTCCTGTCCTCCTCCTTGGAGTGACCCATGACACCTGGCCAGGCTGTCTCCTCCCAGCACACTCAGTTCTCGCTGGTCCCTCCAGGAAACACTGCCCCAGGTCTCCTGCCTGCCTCTATGCAGGCATGGATCTGTTAACGTTTATAGGTTGAACTGTCAGTGTGAAACTTTTCCACCTGAAACTCCAGCAGTCTCGTATGATTGAACCTAGAGCTGTTCAGCTGCAGGCTCCATGTGGGCGGTGAGTCCACCCCCACACGTTGGCGTGTCCAATCATGTGATACTCCGGCAGCAGCTGGAAAAGGCGTGCTAAGAAGGCATGCTGTAGGGCACACACACGTGGCACTGAAGATGGAGAAAAGGTTCCCAGCTGCTGCTTCTACTCTAGATTTGAACATTGAGCCCAAAACTGAGTGACACAGCCTGTCACCTGATGATCTCGGGAGCAGGTTTCTATAAAGCCGTGACTTGAGTTTGATCCCAGTCACTTTTTGGTTTAATTTACCAACTTTATCTTTCTTTTTTTAAAGATTTTTTTAATTTGAAAGAGTTACAAAGGAAGAGAGAGAGAAATCTCCCATCTGCTGGTTCACTCCCAGATGGCCACAGTGGCTGGGCTGGGCCAATCTGAAGCCAGGAGCCAGAAGCTTCTCCTGGGTCTCTTTCTTGGATGTGGGTGCCCAAGAACCTGGACCATTCTCTGCTGCCTTCCCAGGCGCACTAGCAGGGAGCTGGGTGGGAAGTGGAGCAGCCAGGACTTGAGCCGGTGCTCATATAGGATGTCAGCACCATAGGCACTGACTTTAACCGCTGTGTCACAGTGCCAGCCCCCAACATCATTATCTGAAGACACATCGAGTGATCTCTTTGAGACCTTAGCACACCTGTGCTGTGAAGGGATGTGCCCTTTCCAGCAGGCTGAGTTTAGCTAAGGAGAGAGACACTCCGTCAGCTCTGTCCAAAACGAGAGCTGTGGCCCCTTGGTTGGGCCTCTAACTGTGCACACATAGGCAGCCGGCCTTGCATTAGGATATGAACATCTCCGCCATTCGCTTACCTCTGATCCCCAGCAGAGATGATTCTCACCAGGACTGGGCCAATGCTCCACATGTCAGAATGTTCCAGTGGACAATGGTGTTTAGGGTGTCTGTTGTAACCCTCAGAAGATGAGACCGAAAATACATACTGAAGGTTTTAGGCCTTGAAATGTTACAGAGTATGTGTTGTTTTCTTCAAGGATACTTCAAAAAATTCCTGGAAAAATAAAGTTGAAAGCCAAGTTAAGGGGCCGGTGCTGTAGTGTACCAGGTAAAGCAACTGCCTACAGTGCCAGCATCCCATATGGGAGCCGGTTCGAGTCCTGCCAGCTACACTTCCGATCCAGCTCTCTACTATGGCCTGGGAAAGTGCTTGAACCCCTGCACCCATGTGGGAGACCTAGAAGAAGCTCCTGGCTTCAGGTTGGCCCAGCTACAACCGTTGCGGCCACTTGGGGAGTGAACAGCGGAAAGAAGATTTTCTCTTTCTGCTTCTCTGTAACTCTGCCTTTCAAATAATATAACAAATCTTTTAAAAAAGAGGGAATCCTCCCAAATTCTTTCTATGAAGCCAGCATCACCTTAATCCCTAAGCCAGAGAAAGATGCATTGAAAGAAAATTACAGACCAGTATCCCTGATGAACATAGACTTAAAAATCCTCAATAAAATTCTCGCCAATAGAACGCAACAACACATCAGAAAAATCATCCACCCAGACCAAGTGGGATTTATCCCTGGTATGCAGGGATGGTTCAGTGTTCACAAATCAATCAATGTGATACACCACATTAACAAACTGCAGAAGAAAAACCATAGGATTATCTCAATAGATGCAGAGAAAACATTCGATAAAATTCAACACCCTTTCATGATGAAAACTCTAAGCAAATTGGGTATAGAAGGAATCCTCAATACAATCAAAGCAATTTATGAAAAACCCACGGCCAGCATCCTGTTGAATGGGGAAAAGTTGGAAGCATTTCCACTGAGATCCGGTACCAGACAGGGATGCCCACTCTCACCACAGCTATTCAATATAGTTCTGGAAGTTTTAGAGCCATTAGGCAAGAAAAAGAAATTAAAGGGATACAAATTGGGAAGGAAGAAGTATCCCTCTTTGCAGACGATATGATTCTTTACTTAGGGGATCCAAAGAACTCTACTAAGAGACTATTGGAACTCAGAAGAGTTTGGCAAAGTGGTAGGATATAAAATCAATGCACAAAAATCAACAGCCTTTATATACACAGGCAATGCAACGGCTGAGAAAGAACTGCTAAGATCAATCCCATTCACAACAGCCACAAAAACCATCGAATACCTTGGAATAAACTTAACCAAGGATGTTAAAGATCTCTACGATGAGAATTACAAAACCTTAAAGAAAGAAATAGAAGAGGATACCAAAAAATGGAAAAATCTTCCATGCTCATGGGTTGGAAGAATCAATATCATCAAAATGTCCATTCTCTCAAGAGCAATTTATAGATTCAATGTAATACCAATCAAAATACGAAAGAGATTCTTCTCAGATCTGGAAAAAATGATGCTGAAATTCATGGGGAGACACAGGAGACCTCGAATAGCTAAAGCAATCTTGTACAACAAAAACAAAGCTGGAGGCATCACAATACCAGATTTCAGGACATACTACAGGGCAGTTGTAATCAAAACAGCATGGTGCTGGTACAGAAACAGATGGATAGACCAATGGAACAGAATAGAAATACCAGAAATCAATCCAAACATCTACAGCCAACTTATATTTGATCAAGGATCTAAAACCAATTCCTGGAGTAAGGACAGTCTATTCAATAAATGGTGCTGGGAAAATTGAATTTCCACATGCAGAAGCATGAAGCAAGACCCCTACCTTTCACCTTACACAAAAATTCACTCAACATGGATTAAAGACCTAAATCTCCGACCCGACACCGACAGATTATTAGAGAACATTGGAGAAACCCTGCAAGATATAGACACAGGCAAAAACTTCTTGAAAAAGACCCCAGAGGCACAGGCAGTCAAAACCAAAATTAACTATTGGGTTTGCATCAAATTGAGAAGTTTCTGTACTGCAAAAGAAATAGTCAGGAAAGTGAAGAGGCAACTAACAGAATGGGAAAAAACATTTGCAAACTGTGCAACAGATAAAGGGTTAATAACCAGAATCTACAAAGAGATCAAGAAACTCCACAACATCAAAACAAACAACCCACTTAAGAGAACGGCCGAGGACCTCAATAGACATTTTTCAAAAGAGGAAATCCAAATGGCCAACAGGCACATGAAAAAATGTTCAAGATCAGCCGGCGCCGCAGCTCACTAGGCTAATCCTCCGCCTTGCGGCGCCGGCACACTGGGTTCTAGTCCCGGTTGGGGCGCTGGATTCTGTCCCGGTTGCCCCTCTTCCAGGCCAGCTCTCTGCTGTGGCCAGGGAGTGCAGTGGAGGATGGCCCAGGTGCTTGGGCCCTGCACCCCATGGGAGACCAGGAAAAGCACCTGGCTCCTGGCTCCTGCCATCGGATCAGCGCGGTGCGCTGGCCGCAGCGCGCCGGCCGCGGCGGCCATTGGAGGGTGAACCAACGGCAAAGGAAGACCTTTCTCTCTGTCTCTCTCTCTCACTGTCCACTCTGCCTGTCAAAAAAAAAATAAATAAATAAAATTAAAAAAAAAAATGTTCAAGATCACTAGCAATCAGGGAAATGCAAATCAAAACCACAATGAGGTTTCACCTCACCCTGGTTAGAATGGCTCACATACAGAAATCCACCAACAACAGATGCTGGCAAGGATGTGGGGAAAAAGGGACACTAACCCACTGTTGGTGGGAATGCAAACTGGTAAAGCCACTGTGGAAGTCAGTCTGGAGATTCCTCAGAAACCTGAATATAACCTTACCATTCAACCCAGCCATCCCACTCCTTGGAATTTACCCAAAGGAATTTAAATTGGCAAGCACAAAAGCGGTCTGCACCCTAATGTTTATTGCAGCTCAATTCACAATAGCTAAGACCTGGAATCAACCTAAATGCCCATCAACAGTAGACTGGATAAAGAAATTATGGGATATGTACTCTATAGAATACTATACAGCAGTAAAAAAAAAAAATGAAATCCGGTCATTTGCAACAAAATGGAGGAATCTGGAAAACATCATGCTGAGTGAATTAAGTCAGTCCCAAAGGGACAAATATCATATGTTCTTCCTGATGGGTGACAACTAACCAAGCACCAAAAAGGAAAGCTGTTGAAGTGAAATGGACACTTTGAGAAACAGTGACTTGATCAGCCCTTGTCCTGACTGTCGATGAACAACTTAATACTTTATCCCTTTTAGTATTTTTTTGTTCTACTTAATACTATTGGTTGAACTCTGTAATTAATACACAATTAATCTTAAGTGTTGAAATTTAACTGAAAAGTGATCCCTGTTAAATATAAGAGTGGGAATAAGAGAGGGAAGAGATGTACAATTTGGGACATGCTCAGTCTGACTTGCCCCAAATGGTAGAGTTAGAAACATACCAGGGGACTCCAATTCAGTCCCATCAAGGTGGCATGTACCAATGCCATCTCACTAGTCCATTTGATCAATTTCTGTTCACAATTGATCATAATGATAGGACTAAGAGTCAAAAGGATCACATAAACAAGACTAGTGTCTGCTAATACTAGCTGATAGAATAAAAAAGGGAGAGAACGATCCAACATGGGAAGCGGGATACACAGCAGACTCATAGAATGGCAGACTTCCTAAACAGCACTCTAGCCTCAGAATCAGCCCTTAAGGTATTCAGATCTGGCTGAAGAGCCCATGAGAGTATTTTAGGCATGGAAAGCCAAGACACTCTTACCAAAAAAAAAAAAAAAAAAAAAAAAAAACAACAAAAAAAAAAAACAAACCACAAAAACCTAAATGAAAGATCTCCACGAGTGAGATCCCAGTGGAAAGAACAGGTCATCAAAGAAGGAGGTACCTTTCTCTGAAGGGAGGAGGGAACTTTCACTTTGACTAAGACCCTGTCTGAATAAGATCGAAGTCAGCAAACTCAAAAGGCTTCCATAGCCTTGGCAACTCATGACAAGAACCTAGGGTGATTACTGACACCATAAACAAGAGTGTCAATTTGTTAAGTCAACAACAGGAGTCACTGTGTACTTACTCTTCATGTAGGATCTCTGTCCTTAATGTGCTGTACATGGTGATTTAATGCTATAACTAGTACTCAAACAGTATTTTTCACTTTGTGTTTCTATGCGGATGCAAACTGTTGAACCTTTACTTATTATATGCTAAACTGATCTCCTGTATATAAAAAGAATTGAAAATGAATCTTGATGTGAATGGAATGGGAGAGGGGAAGGTTGCAGGTGGGAGGGAAGTTATGGGGGGGGGGCATTGTAATCCATAAGCTGTACTTCAGAAATTTATATTCATTAAATAAAAGTTTAAAAAACTAAGTTTATTTGGGTACAAAAAGCTTGGATACCTGTGCACAGTTTTTTCATAATACATGTTTTATTTGAACTTTATGAAGACCTCTTATGCCAGGACAAGGCTGCTGTGATAACACTTTCAAGATAGTTTGGAGCTAGACATGTCCTAAAAAAATTTTTTTAAAGATTAATTTATTTTGGCTGGCGCCGCGGCTCACTAGGCTAATCCTCCGCCTGTGGAGCCGGCACACTGGGTTCTAGTCCCGGTCGGGGTGCCAGATTCTGTCCCGGTCACTTCTCTTCCTGTCCAGCTCTTTGCTGTGGCCTGGGAAGGCAGTGGAGGACGGCCCAAGTGTTTGGGCCCTGCACGCGCATGGGAGACCAGGAGAAGCACCTGGCTCCTGGCTTCGGATCAATGCAGTGCGCCGTGCGCTGGCCGCAACACACCCGCCACAGCGGCCATTGGGGGGTGAACCAACGGCAAAGGAAGACCTTTCTCTCTCTCATTCTCACTGTCCACTCTGCCTGTCAAAAAAAAAAAAAAAATTATTTTACTTGAGAGGCAGAGTTACAGAAAAAGGGAGAGACAGAAACACAAAAGTCTTCCATCCTTTGGTTCACTCCCCAGGTGGCCATAATGGCCAAAGTAGTACTGATCCGGAGCCAGGAGCTTCTGGGTCTCCCATCTGGGTGCAGGGGCCCAAGCACTTGGGCCATCTTCCACTGCCTTCCCAGGCCATAGCAGAGAGCTGGATCCAAAGAGGAGCAGCCAAGACACTAACGGGCACCCATATGGGATGCTGGTGCCATAGGCAGATGTTTAGCCTATAATGCCACAGTGCCAGCCCCATTCTTTTCTAAAATTAACATTGCAAGTTTAGTTGCTCACTTGTACACCACATATCAAGTGCTTGATGGCCTCCAGTAACCGGTGGTGGCCGCGTCAGACAGCATAGGACAGAATGTTCATCACAGAAAGTTCCACTGGCTGGAGTGTGGCTCTTCCCTGTGGCCTTTTGGGGTGCATTGTGTGTCTGAGAGGTGCAGAATTAACCCTGTGGAATGGCAGCTTGTCTGTGCTAAGACACAACGTCTCGCTGGAACGCAGGCTGTGCAAATGAGAAGTAGGGACGGAGGGGACTAGCTGGGTTGTGCCCTCCCAGGGAGGGTCCATCGGTTGTGTCATACACAGGTGTGCTCATTTCAGGTTTGCAATGAGAATTCTCTGTTCAAAAGTGAGGCCCGCTATCTGGTGCGCCGCAAGGACCCAGAACTCTGGGCTCACGTCCTGGAAGAGACCAACCCATCTAGGAGACAGCTGATCGACCAGGTGAGGTACAGCCCGTCATCCAGGGGCTCAGGCGGCTGGTTTTGTTGTTAGGTTTCAAACCTCCTATGGCTCTGGGGAGTCTTCTCCTCTGCAGAAGGGGCTCTCCTAAAAGTGGTGGGCTCCAGAGTGGATTATTGGCCAAGGGCACAGAGTTGGCTCCTGTACCTGAAGCAGAGCTGTACAGCCCCAGCAGAATACCCACTGGCTGCCCGTATGTGTGTCTAAATCATTTGGCCAGCACAGCCCCTGTGAACAGAAGTGAAGTGACTCTCAGGTTGGCTCAGCTGCTGTCCCTGGGTTGGAGAGGCCCTTGTGCCGTTGTAACTGCCCAGCACCTCCCTGGGGCTGGAATCAAGTGCTGGGGCTGGAGGTTGTTACTAGACACAGCGTGGCCTGTGGGATTCAGCCTCAGACTCTGGGTGGGCTTCCTGCAGCTCTGTACAGGGGCCTGTCCTCTTGTTGCAGCCTCAGACCTAGCCTTGTCCCCGAGGCTGCTGGGGGTATGGCTTAGGGCTGGGCCAAGACCAGTGCGGGAACAAAACCCTGCTCCAGGCAAGGAAGCGGGTTTGGATCTCACCCTGCTTTCTGTCCGCTGCCCTCCTCAAACCCACACCATTATTTCCTTCTGATTAGACTTTTAACTCTGAGCACGTTCAGATTTAGAGAAGTCTGTGTTGTTTTGGAAAGTTACTGTTTCAGCCTCTGCCTTCCCAGTCTGGAGGATTTGCCTGCAGATTTAATCCACCTCATCCCGAACCTGGCGGAAACATTGGACAGCAAAGTGCCAGGGCCAGCGTCTGTTTGGGTTCTGCTGGGGATCCAGCTCCAGGTTCACAGACATCAGCCACCTGGCCTGCCACACAGGTGACCCGGCTGGTGTTGGCCCCAGGCAGGGGAGCTTCAGTACTGCATGGGACTCAAGCCAGCGGGAGCTCCCAGTCTTCCTGTTTCTGTGCTGGTCTGGTCCTTCCATCTGCTTAATTGAATGCTGAAGCCACCTCCTTGGGGGATACTCTCCTGCAGTGCCCTCTGACTGGGGGCACGTGACACAGGCAGACTGTTCCTGGTGTCTGGTGTAGAACCTTATTAAAGAAAGTTTACTTGGAGAAAGCAATGTCCTGAGGTAACCTAGGCTGGGTGTCCTGTGTTGACTGGAATCTGTGGTGGAAATGTAGTTTTGCCCTTAAAACGACCCATGTGTACTTATTCAAGCTGCTCTAAGGTTTTCGAGAGTGAACAGTTAGATGCCGCAGTTGGCTGGGCTACGTGTGCTGTGGCATGGGACCCCTCCTCCGACCCCCTGGGTTCCCCAGTTGGGTTCCTGGGCTACTGTAATTGCTACTTTTCTGTGACTCCCCTGTTTGCTGTTGTGACTTACAAACTCCACAGGGGCAGAACTTATACATCTCACAAGGGCGTTGAGAACCGAGAGACCACCCAGGAGGTGGCCTTGGTTGACTTTGGTTTCAGTTCCTTTAAGATGGAAGTTCATGGCTTGCCTAAGGCCCCCTCAGAGCCGGCTGCTCTTTCCCCTTAATTTATGGCTAGAGCCCACCCCTGAGGAACACCAAACACTTGGCCCCCGGGATAGGTCTCTAGAGGCACTGCAGGTCCCCGCACAAAGGGCAGAGGGAGAGTGCTGCCCTCCAGCCTGCTCTCGTTGGGGGCGTGTGCTCTTGGGATAACGGCCTCTGCTCCCACCGCTGAGTTTTTTGAAGGGTGCCCTGATTGCACCTGCTGGCGCCCCTGCGGTGGACTGTGCCACAGCGGCAGTGGTGCTCTGCTAGCCAGGAGGCTGCCACAGGCCCCAGCCGTGTCTGAATGGCTGCCGTAGTGTCTGCTGGGAGTAGTGGCTTTAAAATCACGGATGGAAGCAGACACAAGCTTTGTGCGTCGTTACTGGCCTTGGAGTAAATTTAGGCACTGTGGTCCATGGAGCAGAGGTAAGAGCCTGTAGCCCGTTTGATGTCAAAACAGAGAAAACAGGATTCCCTGAGAGCTCCTGCTGCAGGCGGCCCTTCACTGTCCAGCTCGAGAAGCCTGCCATTTCTCTGGGCCCGCCCCAGAGCGCCACGGAGGGGGCCACCGCTTCCCTCTGCCTTCGCAGAACCAGCCTTGTTCCACTCTGATCGGGCTCTTTCAAAACCAGGTGGTACAGACAGCCTTGTCAGAGACACAGGATCCTGAGGAGGTCTCCGTCACTGTCAAGGCTTTTATGACAGCCGACCTGCCCAATGAGCTGATCGAGCTGCTGGAGAAGATTGTTCTGGACAACTCCATCTTCAGTGAGCACAGGTGAGGGTGCGCCAGGGACAGCCGTGGGCTCGCTCAGCTCCAGGCGTCTGCTCAGTGTTCACGCCCCTTGTGATCTTGTTTGGCTTCACCTGTCTGCCTCCCCGTCCTCTGACACCCAGGCTCGTGGCCAGTCCACTTGCCCCTCCTGGAAGTTCAGTCCAGCCCTCCCCTTCTTTTACCTGAATCCTACTTCTAAATCAGCCTTTTTCTAGAAGCCTCCATCCCTCTTTCAGCTCTGGCCCACACTCTGGCACAGCAGCAGTGCTCAGAGATGGGGAGCCAGCATTTCATGAGGGCCTCGTGGGGTCCAAGTGCGTGTGAAGCTCTTAAAACCAGGGTGTGCATAGCTTAGAAAGAGGTGCCGGGAGAAGCATATTGAAGGGAAGACTTGCTGGGAGCCAGGCATAGAGACCAGGTGAGTGGGAGCTGTGGTGGGGCTGAGTATTCTGGGTGGAAGCTGCAGCATGGGCGGACATCTTGCAGGTAGGAAGGCGTGCTTTGGCACAGGGCCGCCTGGTAGGTCACCTCTTTTAATTCACTATCGGGGCCATTGCTGTGGCACCATGGTGAGGTAGACTAAGCCTGTGCCTGCAGCACCAGCATCCCACATGTCCCGGCTGCTCCTCTTCGATCCAGCTCTGTCTTTTCCTCTTTCTGTAATGCTACCTCTCAAATAAATAAATTTTAAAATGTATTTAAAAAAATAAATTCACTAGCAGAGGTTCTGGGCTGGGTTATATAAGATTTTTATATAAGATTTGGTATTAGAGAGAGAGAGAGAGAGCGAGCGCGCTTCCATCTGCTGGTGCACTTCTGAGATAGCCACAACAGCCAGGGAGTTCAGGAGCTTCATCCAGGTCTTCTAATAGGTGGCAGGGGCCCAAACACATGGGTCATCCTTTCCTGCTTTTCCCAGGCCATTAGCAGGGAGCTGGATCAGAAGTGGAGCAGCTCCTGGCTTCAGATTGGCGCAGCTCCGGCCGTTGCAGTCATCTGGGGAGTGAACCAGCGGGTGGAAGACCTCTCTCTCTGCCTCTAATTCTCTCTGAAACTCTCTCTTTCAAATAAATAAAATAAATCTTAAAAAAAAAGAAGAAGAAGAAGTGGAGCAGCTGAGTCTCAAACCGGTGCCCATATAGGATGCTGGCGTCACAGGTGGCAGTTTTTTGTTTTTTTTTTTTTTTTTTTTTACAGGCAGAGTGGACAGTGAGAGAGAGACAGAGAGAAAGGTCTTCCTTTGCCGTTGGTTCACCCTCCAATGGCCGCCGCGGCCGGCACACTGCGGCCGGCGCACCGCGCTGATCCGATGGCAGGAGCCAGGAGCCAGGTGCTTCTCCTGGTCTCCCATGGGGTGCAGGGCCCAAGCACCTGGGCCATCCTCCACTGCACTCCCTGACCACAGCAGAGAGCTGGCCTGGAAGAGGGGCAACCGGGACAGAATCCGGCGCCCCAACCGGGACTAGAACCCAGTGTGCCGGCACCGCTAGGCGGAGGATTAGCCTAGTGAGCCACGGCGCCGGCCAACAGGTGGCAGTTTAACCAGCTATACCACAACACTGGCCCCCATGTGTGTGGTCTTTAACTTTGGGATTTCTCTGTGGTACATTATGGAGTGTGAAATTCTGTTCTAATGGGATCACAAGCTCTGACTGATTATGGATGCCAGCAGCATTCCGGTGTGTGAGGTGGCGAGCAGGCCTGCCTGCGGTCTGAGCAGCCTCTGCTGACCGGTGTTAGCCTGCAGACACTGGAAGGGGATTCCCATTCTGCTTTCCAGCACACACAGGGGCTTCAGGATTTCACTGTTTGTGATTGTCTGACACACGTCGTTTTATTTGTCAGTGGAAATAGCCTAGCATGGGTAGTACATGGTCTGAGTACTTAGAGACCAAGACAGATCCAGGCACTGGGGAAAATCACATGAACTGTGTGTTAAAATGAATCAGTGAGCTGGCAAGTAAAGATAGCTGAGATTTCACAATAAATAAAAATAAGGGCTGGTGTCTGGCATGCATATTCTATATCACAGGGCCTGGTTCACTTCTGACTCCAGCTTCCTGCTAATGTGTACCCTGGGAGGCAGAAGGTGATGACTCAAGTACTTGGATCCCTGCCACCCACATAAGAGACCTGGATTAAATTCTGGCCTCTTGGCTTTGGCCTGGTCAGTCCCTGCCCCGGGTGTTGCAGGCATTTGGAGAGTGAACCAACGAATGGAAGTTCTGTCTTGTGTCTCCCTGCCTTTCTTTTTTGAAGTGAAAATAAAGGAATGAATTAATTAAATTTTAAGTGGACCGAAACCCAGAAAAGAACACAGTCTGGCTGATGTTGAGCCCAGGCTATAATCCTTATACCCTGCAGGACACAGGACAAAAGGTATGTTGTCTGCTAAGAAACCCCTTTTAAATGCAAGGATGCACTAACTAGGTTGCTTAGCCCTGTGTTGAGAGGTCAGCCAGATCCCAACAGAAAGTCTCCCTTATTTTTTTTTTTTTTAAGATTTTATTTATTTGGTAGGTAGAGTTACAGACAGTGAGAGAGAGACAGAAAGGTCTTCCCTCCGCTGGTTCACTCCCTAGATAGCTGCAACGGCTGGAGCTGCACCAATCTGAAACCAGGAGCCAGGAGGTTCTTCCCGGTCTCCCACGTGGGTGCAGGGGCCCAAGGACTTGGGCCATCTTCTACCGCTATCCCAGGCCACAGCAGAGAGCTGGACTAGAAGAGGAGCAACCGGGACTAGAACCGGCAGCCATAGGGATGCTGGCGCTGCAGGCAGAGGATTAACCTAGTACTCCACAGCACCGGCCCCAAAGTCTCCCTTTTGAACCACAGGGCTAGATTATGAGGACAGAACTGGCCCTGACAGGCTGGTCCCTCTTAGGGCTTCATATAGGTTCATGTTAACTGGCATGGTGTTTAAAGGCCATGGGTCAGGAATTTAACTTTACAGTGATTGCCATCAGATGGTACCCTCAGATCTCCACCAGAGACAAACATGAATCCTGTTAAGAAGGACCCACTCCTAGCAAAAATGCATGAGGAAGCAAGGGACCATTGATAAGAGCCAGCAATAACAGCAGAATCAGACTGCAGAAACTATAGGTATTGGAATTAGTAGGCGGAGACTATAGAATTACACGTAGTGGTTTTATTTTATTTTTTTTAAGACTTATTTATTTGAAAGGGAAAGAGATCTTCCATCCACTGGTTCATTTCCACAAATGGCTGCAATGGTTGGGTCCTAAAGCCAGGAGCTAGGAGCTGCTTCCCGGTCTCCCACGTGGGTGCAGGGCCCAAGCACTTGGGCATCTTCTGCTGCTTTCCCAGGCACATGAGCAGGGAGCTGGATCAGAAGCAGAGCGGCTGGGACTCAAAACTGGTTCTCCAGTGTGGGATGTCGACATCACAAGTGGCAGCTTACCCTGCTGCACCGTAGTGCCAGCCCCATGTAGTGGTTTCAAATCCAAAAAAGAGTGAACAGATACTGTTTAAGTACCAAGTAACGCTGAGTCACACCCACACAATCTGAAATAAACCGGATTCAGCAGCATTACAGAATCAGTGAGCTGGGAGATAGGTTCGAACAAATGCGAAACTGTAGCTGAGATAAATGGGTAGAAAATATGAAACATTAAGAAATGCAGAGGTTGACAGGAGATCCAATCAAAGGTCTGAGCAGAGCGTGAAAGATAGGCTATCTGGGCGAGAATAATGGAGACTGTAACAAACCTGACATATTTCCAGCCTTCAGATTCAGGATGCTCAGCAAATCCCAAGGAGGATTAACTTTTCAAATCCACCTTACACACATTATAGCAAAACTGCAGAATACCAAATAGCATATTTAACACTATCCAGAGAGGGGCCGGCACGGCGCGATGGCGTAGCAGGGAAACCACCACCCGCGACACCGGCATCCCATGTGGGCACTGATTCGAGTCCCGGCTGCTCCACTTCCTATCCAGCTCCCTGCTAATGGCCTGGGAAAGCAGCAGAGGACACCCAAGTGCTTGGGCCCCTGCACCCACACCGGGGACCCAGAAGACGCTCCTGGCTCCTGGCTCCGGAACGGTGCATCTCCAGCCATTTGGGGAGTGAACCAGCAGATGGAAGACCTCTCTCTTTCTCCCTCTCTAACTCTTTCAAGTAAATAAATAAATTTTAAAAATATATATATCCAAAGAAAAGATAAACTTCCTACAAAGGACTGTGAATGAGACAGGATGTTTATCAGTAGCCTCAGTGGAAATCAAAGAGCAGTAAAATGGTAACATGCTCAGAGAAGTAGTTGTCAACTTAAAACGGTGTGCTTTCTTAAAAATAAGAGTAAGATGAGATAGATATTTTTGTATAGATCGAATGTGAGAGTTTATGACTAGCTGAGCTACTGTAAGGGAACTTCTGGGAGATGCATTTTAAGCAAAAGGAAAACAATCCCACATGGGTGCAAGAAAGAAGAGAGCAAAACAACGGTGTCCGTATAAAACAAAAATACATTGCAGTGTTAGGTAAAAGGAGCTAAAATTCTTAGTAGCTGAGTGTAAGTTGGGAGGTAGTATTGTAGGAAGAAGATAATAATTAGGGTTAGTCTTGGCCAAGTATTCCTTATTAAAATTGCAAACGGATCCACTATCAGAGCTGAGTGTCTAACTTCTAAACCAGTTGAATGTTAAAAAAATAGGGTGGGAAAACTGTCAGCCCCAAAAAAGGTCGCGAAAGGTACATAGAAGAGGTAGGGACAAATGGCAAGTATAAAATGCGGTGACAGAAGCGAATCCAAATAATGACAGCAAGTGTGCTAAAGGTTAGTGGATCGTATGCTCCAGGTGAGCAACAAGGATGGAGGTGGGCACTTGGTGCAGTGGTGCAGACACTGCTGTGGACTACTGCATGCTGTATCAGAGGGCCTGGGAGACTGAATTCTGACTCCACTTCCTGGTCATGGGCACCCTGGGAGGCAGAGGCTGGTACACCCACACAGGAGACCCAAGTTGAGTTTG